AAAAAAAAAAAAAGAAAGAAAGTACGGCCCATACACAGGGAAAAAAGCAGTCAACAGAAACCCTCCCTGAGGAAATCCAGACATTGGATTTACTAGACAAAAGCTTTAAACCAGCTATTTTTAAATATATACAAAGAAGTTTTTAAAAACTATCTAGAAACCTAAAGTATAAGAATGATTTCTCACCAGAAAATATCAATAAAGAAATAAAAATGATTAGAAAGGGCTGAGCACAGTGGCTCACATCTGTAATCCCAGCAATTAGGGAGACTGAGGCAGCAGAATCACTTGAAGCCAGGAGTTTGAGACCAGCCTGGGCAACATAGCGAGACCCCGTCTCTTTGGGAGTCGGGTGGGGAGGAGTGTGGAAATTAGCCCGGCGTGGTGGTGCAGCCTGTAGTCCTAACTGCTTGGGAGGCTCCAGGAGTTCAAGGCTGCAGTGAGCTATGACTGTGCCACTGTACTGCAGCCTCAGTGACAGAGTGAGACCCTGTCTCAAAAAAAAAAAGATTAAAAAGAATGAAATAGAAATTCTGGGTTAAGAAGTACAATAACTAAAATTCACTGGAGGGGTTCAATAGCAGATTTGAGCAGGCAGAAGAAAAAAAAATCACCAACCTTGAGAATAGGTCAACTGAAATTACCTAGTCTGAGGAACAGAAAGAAAAAACAATGAAGAAAAACAAACAGAGCTTCAGCCATCTGTGAACACCAGCAAGCAGACCAATATATGAGTAACAGGAGCGCCAGGAGGAGAGGAGGGAGATAAATAGATTTGAATAGTATGTTCAAAAACTGCCCCAAATGTGATTTAAAACTATTTATACATACATTTTCAAGAAGTACACACATTCTTCTCAAGCGCACACAGAACATTCTCTAGGACAGACCACTTGTTAGGTCATAAAACAAGACTCAATACATTTAAAAGGATGGAAATCATGCAAAGTATGTTTTCCAACCACAGTGAAATAGAATTAGAAATAAACAACAGAAGAAAAACTGGAAAATTCACAAATATGTGGAAATCAAATAACGCACTCCATATGAATAAACCAATGGGTTAAAGAAGAAATCGCAAGGAAAATTAGAAAATACTTTGAGAGGAATGAAAATAAAAATGTAACATACCAAAACTTATGGCAGGGAGTGAAAACAGTCCTTAGAGAGGAATTTACAACTATAAATGCCTGTATGAAAAATGGAAAGATCTCAAACCAGTGACCTAATAACTTTATTCCTTAAGAAAGAAAAAAGAAGAGCAAAGTAAGTCCAAAGAAAGCAGACAGAAGGATCAAGGTTAGCATGACAATAAATGAAATTAGAAAAACTACAGAGAATCAAAGAAATTGCAAGTTGGTTCTTTGAAAAGATCAACAAAATTGACAAACCTTTAGCTAGACTGACCAAGAAAAAAAAAGATGACTCAAATTACTAAAATCAGGAATGAAAGAGTAACATTATGAACATTAAAGAAATAACACTATTAATACTTACTAGGGAACACTATGAACAATTGCAATGTCAACAAATTAGATAACCTACATGAAGAAGACAAAAATCCCACAAAGGCACAAACTACCTAAACTGATTCAAAATCTGAATAGACTCATAATGATATACTGAAATAGTAATCAAAAAATTTCCCTTAAAGTAAAGCCAGGACCAGATGGCTTCATGGTGATTTCTACTAAATGTTTAAAGAAGAATTAATGTTAATCCTTTACAAACTCATCCATAAAACAGAAGAGTAGGGAACACTTTCCAATTCATTCTATGAAGCTGGTATTATCTTGATACCAAAGCCAGACAAAAGACATCGAGAAAAAAGAAAACTATAGCCCAACATCACTTATGAATATAGATGCAAAAGTCCTTAACAAAACTCTAGCAAACGCAATCCGGCAACATATAAAAAGGATTATACAATATGACCACGTGGGATTTATCCCAAGAAGAAAAGCTTGGTTCAACATATGAAATTCAATCAATGGAATACACGTTAATAAAGAACAGAACTACACAATCACCTGAAATTGAGGCAGAAGGCATTTAATAAAATCTAACACCATTCCAATCTTAAAAACACTTCACAAGGAACAGAAGGAAACTTCCTCAGCCTCATAAAGCGCATCTTGAAAAATCCACAGCTAACGCTTATACTTGATGGTGAAAGCCTGAAAGCTACTCCCACCCCCACCTAAGATCAGTAACAAGATGAGGATGTCTGCTCTTATCCCTTTTATTCAACACTGAACTGGAGATCTTAGCCAAGAAAATTAGGTATGAAAAAGAAGTAAACATCACTCATATTGGAAAGGAAGAAATAAAACTATCTCTACTTATAGATGACATGGTCTTATATATAGAAAATACTAAGAAATCCACACAAAATATTAGAACTAATAAGTTCAGCCTCGTTGCAAGATACGAAATCAATATGCAAAATTCAGTTGTATTTCTACACACTAACGATGAACAATCCAAAAATAAAATTAAGAAAACAATTCCATGTATAATACCATCACAGAGGAAAAAAATCAATTATATTTATGTAATAAAAGAAGTACAAAATTTGAATGCTGAAAACTACCAATCATCACTGAAA